GGGGGCTGGTGGGTTTCGAGCTCTGAGGTTTCGCTGGCGTCTCGGCTTTGAGGGAGCTTCAAAGCGTGGCCCGAGCGATGCTGTGCGAGCTCTCTGGGGCTGCCGAAGGGAACCCTTGGAGAAGCGCGCACCCCACTGCGGACCCTGCGGTGTAGGGGAGGCCGCGGTGGTGCCCCCCCCCCATCGTGGTGCTTGGGAGCGTGGTCAGCTCATCTCCCTGAGGAGAGAAAATCCCGCAGGAGTGGAGGATTTTGGAATTGCCCTGTCTTTACCCCTTCCTCTTGTCTGGGGGGAATGGAGACGTCTCCGTTCCTTACCTTGAGCCCTTCGGTTGTGTGAGAAGGAAGCGCCTTTTGGCCAGCGTGTGCGGAGGGGGGAGAGAAGAGGGGCAGGGGCGTGAGGATCCTGGAATGGGGTCACCTTGGGGGCTGGAAAGCCCCAAGGGAGCCTGGTGTTGAAGTGTTTTCCTTAGAACCACGTCATGTTCTGTGCAACCTCTAGGGAAGGCCAAGGCCAGGTCAGCCCGAGGCACCAGCTCTCTTCTCCATAGACAGCACAAGAGGCATCCATTTGTCTCAGCCTGGAGTCTGTCCCCTGCCAAGGCAATCTAGAGCCCTTTCCCACCCTCTTTTGCAGGCCATAGCAAGGACATAGTGGGACCGTGCCCTCAGGTCAGTGATGGGAAGGTGTCTAGAACAGCTGACAGGCGGTTGTCAATCCCCACCGCAGTTTGGAGAGTCCTTGGTAGTCTTAAGTCAGGCACAGTAAAATCACTTGTGTGCCAGTCTGAACGATACAGACAAAACCAGAGATGACTGATTTTGCTCTTCTTTAAGATCCTTTCTAGGCTCAAGTAGGCCGTTTCAGGAGGAACAGTTTCCATTGAATCAGCTCAGCTGGAATGGGAGCGAAGGCATGACAATCATTCCCCCCACTTTCTTAACATTACAAGTCAGCGGAAGAGCCCTCCAGGTGTGTGAGTGGCGTATCTTGAAGTGAGCGATGGCCGGCAGACAGGCTGCGGCAGCGTTGGGCTTGGGGAAGAGCACATTTCCCTGTGAATCGAGGCTGAAGGGGCTCCAGCGTGAGAGGCGTGCAGTTTCAGTCGTGTGTAGCAGTGCAGTTGTAGTGGGGGTGGGAGCGTTAAGTAGTCTTGACTTCCAGCAGTGGCTTGGTACTCTTTTAATGACATCTTTGTGGCAAATATATTAGATTCAGATGCACTTCAGAAATAATTGCCAGTTAATTAACCTCATTCTATGGAACGATGGCTTTTGCTGCAGGGGATCCTGCCGGAGGATTCCAGCTCCCTTTCCTGTAAATCTTTTGTTTATTGTTTTGTTACATCTCTTTCTTCCAAATATACAAAGATTACAGATCCTTCCCCTTCACGCAAGGCTCACAAATACTCAGCCATTCAAGCAGACTTAGGTACACAGGCAGAATTACATTTTTAAAGGTTATATTGGCCAAAGAGAGAATAAAAAGCTAAATTTAGAACGTCAGTCTACAAACAAGTTTCCGCATGTTTAGCTTTCTGTATAAGCTTGGTCTCACCGATGTCGTTTGGAGTATTCCTGTGGGTAAAGCTGTGAGTGGGTACAATGAACTACAGGAATGGGTCTCGCGTCTGCATTAAAATTCAAAGTACACAAATTTCACAGAATCACAGAATGGTAGGGGTTGGAAGGGACCTCTGTGTGTCATCTAGTCCAACCCCCCTGTTCCAGGGCTCCGTCACCCTCAGAGGGAAGAAGTTCTTCCTCATGTTCAGACGGAACTTCCTGTGCTTCAGTTTGTGCTCATTGCCCCTTGTCCTGTCACTGGGCACCACTGAAAAGAGTCTGGCCCCATCCTCCTGACACCCACCCTTCAGATATTTATAAGCATTTATAAGGTCCCCTCGCAGCCTTCTCTTCTTCAGGCGGAACAAGCCCAGCTCCCTCAGCCTCTCCTCGTAGGAGAGATGTTCCAGTTCCCTCACCATCCTTGTAGCCCTCCGCTGGGACTGGAACATCAGTATTTAGTACTGATAAAGATTTGTTTTCTTACCAGTATCAAGAAGAATTCCTGGTGCTGCAGAAATATGTGTAGAACAGCACTGTCAGTGTCATTAAAAAGCAACAGGCGAGTTTCTCTGCTTTAAAACATGGTGTCACTTTTTCAGCATTGCAGCAGAAGCTTATGCTTATTTAATGACATTGAAGGTTGCAGTCATGCACCTTGATGAGCACAGGCAGACCCTGTCCTTGCTCGGAGCAAGGATTTGGGTGTGCTCAGAGACTGCCAGCGTGTATCGCATTGCAGGGCTGGGCATTTAGGAGTCGTTTCTGTCTTCTCGTATCCATAAGTGAGTCCTTTTGAGACTTAACAAGAGCTGAGTCTGTGTGGGTGCGATAGGGCAGAATGTGACCTCAGAGAGAGAGTAAAACAACTTTCCTAAAGATACAAGATAGAAAAGCTGCCACTTTCCTTGTTTGTACAATGACTAGTCACCTCTTGCAGTTAAAAATGTGCCCTGTTCCCAATTTAAATGTCTGGCTTCAGCTCATAGTCACTAATCTTTGTCATTCTGTTTGGTTGGGTTTTTTTCCTGCCCATTTGGGCTGGGACACACACCTGGTGCAAAACATTTTTTTCTTGGTTAAAATACTTGTGCCAGATTCTGTCTGGATATTCCTGTGGTTCTGTCACTGAGCTTCTGCCCTAACCTTGAGTGAGGCAATTAACTACTTGGCCTGCAAAAAGTGCATAGTAAGATTTACCCGATGAGGCTGCTTGCAGTGCTAAATGCATATTTATTCATCATTTCAGCGTGCTCCAAAGGAAAGTGCTGCCAAAGCTGGTGTGCTGCTTCATGAATGTCTGCTCAGAGACCAGTAGCTTTATGCAGCACTTGCAAGATGAAATACTGCACCAACGGAGTTTTCGTGGGCTGTGTATTGATCGAGTTTATTTTATTCTTTGTTTTATTTATGCGTCTTACGTTCTGCAAATCCTCTCAGAAATTACCATGCTGTATTCTGATGCAGTCACAATCTCCCCAAGAATGCAGGATATCAGTCACTGAACCTCATCATCCATGCACCAATAAATGAATTACACGATTCAGTGACTACCAGATCCGCAGCTCCCTCTCTCTTGTTAAACTCCCACATTCCTCATTCCTCCCTCTCTCTCCCCCTCTCTCTCTTTTCATAATTATTGCTTCTCGTTGCTTCTCTGTCCCCAGTGCTAGGGATTATACACACGGCATTTCTGGTGCCAAGCGGTACTGCTGCCTTCCTGTTTTTACTGATGTTTTCCCTGTGGAGAAGGGAGAAGCATGGTCACCGCCGGGCTGCTGGATAAAGGATGGACATCGTGATTGTACGGTGAGCCGTGGGGAGCAGGGAGTGCAGGGCAGCCCCAGCGCAGTGCTCCTGTAGGTGCTCGGAAACCAAATGCACCGGGAAGCAAATACAGGATCGCAGGTGGAAGCCATCACATCGTTCAGTTTCTCGCTCCTGATCACGTGTGACGTATGTTTAGGGAGATTTTTTTCCTGCCTTGTTTTGATGCTAGCGGAGGCTGGGGCTGGAAAGGAGAGTCATAATTTTGGGCAAGGTTTGCAGGAGGTGATGTGGAACAAAAGAAGGGTCTCTCTGGCAGAGCCAGCTTGCTGCGCTTGCTCTGCTCCTACGGCAGACTGTTACAGAAAGGGATGGCGGAGGGGGTGGCATAGCAAGCCCTCCGGCAGCTCCACCCCAAGGTCTCCCCGGCTGCCTCTACCAACCTCAGCCTGATGCTTCCCACAGGCGCGGATGCCCCAGTGCTCCTCGCTGCTCTGCAGGCCACCATTTCCAGGCAGGCCGGAACGGCAAGGAAATAGAGATGCGGCAATAGAGAGAACGAGCATTAAGGAAGGGGAGCTGGAAACAGCGGCTTCCTTCCCCCAGCACCCTCCTGGGAGTTGGAGAGCTGCTGCCAGGGGACAGGGGGAGTGGTGAGGGAGTGCTGACCCCACCGAGAGAGAGCCGAATATCGCTGCAAAACAGAGATTGTACAGAGCTGTAGGACAGTTGTGTTTTTGGGGGAGGGAAATGGGATTCTTTCAGTTGTGCCAGAACACGTGATTTTATTGTATTCCTTAATACACGAAACAAAATCTCATCTCCTTTAGTCCTGAGATTATGTGAACATTTTTTAAAAAAACAACTTTATAACACAGTTGTTTTCTAGATGTCATGGCTTCAGGGAGAAGCTTCAAAACATGACTCGTACGAGCTTGAAAT